CTTTTTTAAACGGTTACATATAAGTCTAAAATCTAGGACATTAAATCAATTAAAATTTGACTTGTATAGATTGAACAATTCATTTATAATAATTTGTTCCTACTTTTTTAGACCTACAAATTAGGAACGTGTATTTATAAATTTGATAAAGCATGTTAAGATTCCATCAACGTACAGTTTTCATCCAAATTAAATATTTAAACTTTTCATTGTATATCAAATTTATATAATTATCTATATTATTATAAAAGCATGAATAAAATATTAGATTACAAAAATAACCTTTTAATATTAAGCATAATAACTCACAATAAAAGGATATAATTGGAATTCTAGACATTAGACTTGTAATCCAAACCTTTTTCTTACTTATTATTGTGTTTCTTTTTCCTTTTTTGCTTGATAAAATATATTTTGCATAAAGTCCCTAAATTTTCTTATACTTTTTTCTTTCTTAGTTTATCTTTTACTTTTATTGTCATGGCATGATTAATCTCTATGATGCGTATTCATATTAATCTCAAGTTATAGTTGGTTTCAAATTAACGGGTCTTATCTGATAGGTTTTGGAAATTGAAAAGCAAGTTGCAGGCATGGAACAATTTTGAGAAAAAGACTCAATAGAAAATTGGTTAAAATTTAAATTATTCTTAAAAATATATATCTATATCTTATCATGTCTGTCTATCTATCTATCTATCTATATCTATATCTATCTATCTTCTATATATTATTATAAAAGCGTGAATAAAATGTTAGATAACACAAATAACCTTTTAATATGAAGCATAATAACTTACAATAAAAGGACATAATCGAAATTCTAGACATTAGCCTTGTAATGCTATTAGTTTTATGAAATAATACTACATGTGATGATTACCCTTAGAAATCCTATTAGTATAATTATTTTTAGGCATAGATATATAATACTACATATTAATATGTAAACCTAATACCTTTAGTAACATGTTAGATTTTCTATTAGTATAATTACTTTCGGAATATGGACATATTTTTAGCGATGTAATCTTATTACTTTTAGGACATACTTCTTAAAATATTCCTTTTACTAATTTAATTTAAAAATGTATTATATTGTCCCAAACTATTTAGAAATAGGAGAACTTATATTATCATAAAAGCGTGAATATAATATTAATAGATCAAAATAACCCTAAATATTAAACAGAAGAAATCACATTGAAAGGACATATATAGTTGTAATAACTTCTTTTATTGGACCACAATAACTTCTATATTAATTTTTTAATATTTAATATTTTAGAATTAATACAATCTTATCTAATGAATTCTTATTAAAAATATGTAGGAAGTTTTAATAAAATTAATTTCGTAAGAATCCTCCATATTGGTAATACATTCCTATTTTATAATATTCAATATCAAAATATAAAAGTAATGCTAAACGGATGGCATAAAGTGTTAAACTTGAGGAAAAAAAACCAAGATAATATATTATTATATTATATTTGAACTGATTTCCTGCTCAAATAATTTATTTTATTATTAATTTTTCGTGTAATATAAGAAAAATATACCCAATTATTAAGGAACAACTAAAAAAAATTTTAAGACTATAAATGTGTGAGAAAAGAAAGAAATAGGTTGGTAAGAGTCAATACCACTAATGATTTTGCAAACATAAAGATCTAAAAGTGAAATGTCAGATCGATCATTTTTATTCTTTGAAAATAAAATTTAAGGAGAATAAATTATAATTACGGTTAAATATTCAGGCATGAGATGAATTAATATTAAGAATCTAAATCAACAGAAAATAAATTATACTTTATGTTAAAACCAAATAATCAAATATTTCACTTAATTATTTAGCAAGAGAGTCCAATTAAATTATTTTTTAAATTCATCATTTGAGTAAAATTATTTTTCAAGTTAAAAATAAATCTTAGGGTACATAAATTTATTCCATAAAAAGAGTGTTAGAGATTAAAAAAATAGTACACAAAGTAAAAAAGATTAGTATAATAGCAAGAAGGCCATACAAGTGTTTGAGGAAGCATAATCAAAGCTAAATCCTAAACAAGAATAAGTTTTCAAAACTATATTATAAAAAGTCGACCTGGTATAGCGAGATTATCCTTTGTATATGCCTCCGGCGGAATCAAAATAATATTCTTATGTCATGCATTACTTGCAAATGTCAGATCAAGAGGCATGACATTGTTAGCAATAAGAACAAGTGGTGTGTCAGCAACGATTTTATTATGAGGTCGTACAACTCACTTTAGATTTGATATACATTTTCAAATAACTGAAATGACCATCACAAATATATCAAAGTAGAGCAATAATGCTAAATTTATAAGGAAAGCAGAAGTGATAATATGGGATGAAGCGCTTTTGGCTACGCGTCAAATAATCAAAACAATCGCCCTGAGTTTTATAGATATATTAGATATCGATGAACCGTTTGGTGGAAAAGTAATAGTTTGGGAGGTAATTTCTGTCACGTACGATCAGTAGTTTCAATATTGACCAAAGCAGAAAATGTAAAATCTAGCTTGCCAAAATTATATTTATGACCTCAAATGAAAAATATTCAATTGACAAGAAATATAAAAGTAAGAACAGATCAAACATTCAGTGACTTCTTGCTTCGTGTCGAAAACGAAGAAGAGCAACCAATAAAAGATGATTTGATTCTTTTAGAACACTTGGTTATCAATTCCAATATTAATAGTAGTGCATTTAATAAGAAAAATATTTTCATCATTAGATTAAAATGCAATTTGTGCAAATTACATGATAGAAATTAAAGAACTATCTTAGCTAGCAGAAATGAATATGTTGATTAACTAAATAAAAGGTTGATTGCTAATTTTTATGGTAAAAATAAAATATTTTTTAGTTTTGACTCAGCAAAAGAATACTACCAAGAAGAATACTTAAATACTTTAACACCAAATGGCCTTTTACCGTACATGTTTGTTGTCAAGTTCATTATTTCTTACACATGCTAGTGTCACCATATATATAGTAGACTAAGTTAAAATTGATCTTCCATTGCATATAGGTTGATTTTGAAGAAAAATATTCATGTCATGCTACTGCAAACTTAGATTCATTGAATAACTTATGCAATAGTACACATATGGTATATAAAAAATTTGACAATAATATCATATATGCGGAACTTATGATACTGGTCAATGTGCTTCTAAGTATGTATTTATCCCCGCATTCAATTTTCGTTTTTCGAAACTAAAGAATATTTTTTAAAAATTTGCATGAAAATAACTTTTAGTATGTTTATGTTTTGTAGTTATAATAAATAAAGTATAAGGACAAACATCCTAAATATTGGACTATATTTATCATAATATATTTTCTTACACGAATAACTATATGTTGCACTTTCAAGAGAGATATCAATACCGACAACAAGAGTTCTGGTTATGACAGAGTAACCAAGCATTAGAAGGAAACATATACAAAAAAAAAAATTACCGTCAATAAAGAAGTGTTCGGAAAGATACCATCACATTAGATACATGTAAACCAATGGCGAAGTCAGAATTTTCTCAAGGGTATTCAAGCTTGAAATAAGTAAAAAAAACTATGACAAAGGGTGTTCAATATATATTATTTATCTCCAAAACCTAATATTTTACGTATATACACAATGTTTTCCGACAAAGGGTAGTCAATTGATCACCCTAAGCAAAGTGTGACTTCGCCCATGCTGTAAACAACATTACATAATTATCTACTTAACATGACTAAAATTAATCATTTATGTAAGTTCTGATGATGTCCTTTTATTTTGAATTCACGTACTATGCTAATATAACAATATTTTTCGATATTTAAATGATTGTTATATCTCATTAATTAAATTTTATTGTTCCTTCATATAAATAAATATTTAAACCATCATGTTCCATTATTAACGTGCAACACACGTTTATAGATACTAATTTTCTTAAAAAGATACTTTACCATTAAAATTTATTTTATATTTTGACTATCTATAACTTTAATCCATTATATAGATTTTGGGCGAGAAGTAAATGAAAAAAAAAAGTAAATTAAAGACTAATGCCTCCTTCATTAACATGTTTTGAGAGGCAACCAAGTTAAGAATTAAATAAATTAGAAAAACAATATTTACTCTTAGAGGAATAATTCACAATTACATATTATATTTTACCATCGTGTGCTTCTAATAAGCTATTAATTATTTGACAAACAATTCAAAACCCTAATTCATTACTAAAAGAACATTAACGAATATTCATAAATTTTTACTCACTAATACTAACTAATAAATAATAACGTTCATAAACCACAAATAAAAAAAAATTATTGTTAAACAAAATAACATAAAAAAATATAAACAAAAAAAAATATAAACAATCAAGACTTGACAAAAATAAGAAATTTGGATGAAAGGTTTTATCAAATTCACTTTTGTGGCGTGATATTATGTTCTCAAATCTTGAAATGCGATTAATAAAGAACGTTTTTGACTGCTCAAAGGATTGTTATTGAATTTTTGATGATCTACATACAAATCTAATTATAGACGATTGCAAGTTAGGCGCTGGGCGCATACCAGGCGTACGTTTGGTGCATTGAGGTGGAAGGATCAAGATTTATTAATTTTAGAATTTATATTTTTATTTTTTACTCTTTTCACACAAATATAATATTTAATAATATTTATATGTTTGTTTAAAAAATTATATACTCATTGACATGGGTGCACGCACAATACGCATATCGTTAGACTAGTTACAAAAAAGAGGAAAGATTTTATAGTTCACTATAGATGAGAGTCGTGAAACATAAACAGCTAGTCTTGCCAATGAATTTTTCCTTTGTTGCACTAGGAGTTTATCGTAAAAGTGTTTCATTTAGCTTATGCGGCAAAATTCGACACTAGTAATTTCACTTTCAACTCTCAACAACAAGGTTTACTTCTTTTACCCAGAAGTAGCAAAATCCGTGCACTCTTAACTAACTAATCACTTGACTCAACATACATTCAAATTATTGTAAACACAAAGTTACGTATACATTTTCTCATCAAAAAGTCTAAACAAAAACAAATGCCACTTCACAATCAATATTGCATCACTAGATGTAGGTTTCTTTCCCTGCCATAGGATTGTTGCAGTTTCCCTCAAGCCACAGGCATGACCTGCATTTCGCTGGTTCTTGTTCAAGCTATGGTGTCCACAGATGGAAACTCAAAACACTATCGACTAAGGTACTAGTCTAGAGTCCCCTAATTTTCATCATCATCGTCGTGTAACATTATTAACGAAGATTAGTTTCTGAGACTCACATGTCTGAAACATTCTCAAAACTTGAATTTGACCTCATACTATACTCTGCCACGAGCTTAGCAAACAATGAGGATTCGTTCTCTAACAACCTGGCTGGAGTGCCGTATTCAGCAATGAGCCCTGCAGCATAGCATAAAAAAAAAGGTAACTACCAAGAATTTCCTTCTCCGCTTGCTCCAGAACATAAACGATGATTCTTACCATGATCTAATAGTAGGACCATATCACTGTCAAGCACAGATGTAATCCTATGAGCAATGGTTATAACCGTGGAATCAGAGAAGTGCAGCCTTAGAGTTTGCTGAATAAGATTATCAGTTGCAGTGTCGACAGATGCTGTAGCCTCGTCAAGGACCAGGACCTTGCTCTTTTTCAGTAGCACACGGCCAAGGCAGACCAGCTGCCTTTGGCCTACACTCCAGTTCTCTCCATTCTCAGATACTGCAGCAACGCAATGAAGATGATTATTACAGCTCTAAAAGTGGAAATCATCAGAAAATGATGTGGTTCTTGAAGTTACCTGTAGAATAAAGTTTGCCTTCTTTCTTCCTCACTTCTTCTCCTAGCTGACACTTATCGAGCGCCTGAAGCATAACATCAAACAAAGTTTCTCAATAAAATAAAATTTGTCATTTTCCTATCTGAAACAAAATAAATCCAAAAATAGGCAAAACCAAGCTGTCACCTCCCAAATTTGTTCATCTGAATACTCTTCAAGCGGGTCTAGGTTGCTGCGAACTGTTCCCTCAAACATAGTTGGATCCTGTGGAATTATACTCAATCTAGACCGTAGATCATGCAAACCAATTGAGGAGATGCTGATACCATCTATTTTTATTTGTCCAGCAGCTGGTTCAACTATGCGGAAGAGGGTCTGTATTAGAGTAGATTTACCGCTGCCTGTCCTACCGACAATTCCAGTCTTCTTTCCACCAAAGAAAGTGCATGTAAGGCCTCGCAACACGAGAGGCATGTGAGGAGCATATCGGACCTATTAAAAGTTTTCAGATATACCAACCCATACCAACAAATTAACCTGCATAATTAACACCAGAGAATAACTTAATTTACCTGAAGATTGCTAAAATCAACCTCTCCACAAGATGGCCAGTTAGGGTCTGGTCTGTTAGATTCTATGATAAGAGGAGGTTCACTTGGAAGAGCAGTATACTGAAGTATTCTTTCAACAGAAATAATTTTATTTTCCATCATACAAAGATTCCAAACAACCCAAGCTTGTATTATGTTCAGATTAAGCCCATATGTAACAGCTAAGCCAGCAACACCTGTAAATCAAGAAACGGAGAAAATGTGCTCTTAAGAGTTATTCAACACAACAAACTTCAAGGAAAGAAAACATGAAGATAGAGAACTTACTTGGGTCAATTGTTCCAACAGGAAGAGAGATCAAGAAAATTAAAGAGAAAGCAAAAGTGATCAGAGATAACATATCCAAACGCAAACAAAGCCACTCCATTGCAGCAGCGATGTGAAACTTAGGCCGAGAATAATTGTCTATCAATTTCATACTTGTGTCCTGGAATCTAGATTCCTGATCGAAACTTCTAATTGTGCTTGATCCTGAAATTGTCTCGGCAAAGTGCTGTATTACTGGAGCTTTGCATGTCCCATTTAGCCGTGCCAGTTCTCGTGCTGATGGTATGTAATATTGCTGCAATGAAAACAAACTCACCACTTAAATGTAACTCACGTTTATGAATGTCGCTAAAGTTATGACTCACTTTGTGAAAAAGCATATAGTAGAATAATTGTGAAGGCAAAGAACACGAAAAAGGTGGTCGTAGCAACCTCCAACCAGATGCAAACTGCAATGACCGGAATAAAGACAATGAAGACCTGCCATGCAACTTGTGACATTACTCCAATAATCCCTAAAAGCTGTATTATTGTGAAGGCAAAGGATCCAACTTGAATGGGAACATTCAGATCAATTGCACTTTGATCTGTCGATGCCTGTTTTCATACCAAAGTACATTTGAGTTAATTCTGAAATTACTAGCTAATTTTCACAAAACATTGATTAGTCATGTAACAGAAAGATTGACACTAATAAGGAAAAAAAAGGGGCTAAATAAAGAAAATGTAATCATTCACTTACTCTGTTTAGAATCCGCCCACTCGGTGTGGCATCGAAGAAGGACATTGGAGCACGGAAAATGCAAAGATGCATTTTATGGAAAAGCAAAGAGGCTGTCTTATATCCAGCGGTAACAAGAAGCATGGTTCTAGCAAGGATGCATAAAGCACTTGCAATTCCTAAAGCAACATAGACAATGATGAGAGTAGAACTCCCAACAGGAGGTGGCTCACTCTTTGAGACGGGAGTTGCCCACGCCATCCAATAATTGCTTCCAATTTGAAGGAGCTGAAAACCAACTTGTGCCAACAGCATAAATGGCACAAGAGCACCTCCATATGCAGTTGTTATATATTTCCAGTAAACTGAAAAACCAACACTACCTTTCTCTCTTTCCTCCTCCTGAACAATTTGTCCCTTTGTTCCAACAATATCATCCACTTTACCATTTTGGCCATCTGAAATATTTTTATCCTTCTGTACATTTGTATTATCACCAGTCATTTCCTCACTCTTTCTCAATGCTTCTCCCTTAACTGTGTCAATTGCTGTTAAAGCTTCTTGGTGAGCACCCACAAGTTCCATGAAGTCACTACCTAATTTGAGAAGATCATTGTATTTCCCAGTTTCACTGATCCTTCCATCTTTCATGACCTGAAGAGAAATATCATAGTTAAATGAGTTAAGTCTATATATGATATTAAGCAAACCATAATTACTGAAAGGAAAGAGTACCAAGATCAAATCCGCAGCAGGCAAAAACTCCACTTGATGTGTAACATATAAAACTGTTTTTGAATTCAATAGCCCCATTATACATTCCTGCAATTAAAGGATGGGTCAATCAAGTGGCTAGGTAAAATATATCAAGCATGAAAATAAAGCATATATATGAAAGGACTTACACTGAAGAGATGGGATCCGGTATGAGCATCCACAGCACTGAACGGATCATCAAATAGGTAAACATCAGCATCTTGGTAAAGAGCACGAGCAATCTGTATTCTCTGCTTCTGTCCACCGCTCAAATTAATGCCCCTCTCCCCTATTTCTGTTTGATCGCCAAAAGAGAGAATTTCCAGGTCTTTCTTTAAGGAGCACGCTTCAAGAACTTTATCATACTTCTCCCTCTGCATCTCTTTACCAAATAATATGTTCTCCTCTATCTTTCCACTCTGTATCCAGGGCGACTGTGCAACATAAGCCTTCGTTCCACTAAGTTTAATAGTCCCTGATAATTTGGGCATCTCTCCTAAAATGCTAGACAGTAAGCTTGATTTTCCTGAACCAACTGTACCACAAATGGCAACTCTCATGCCATTAAGCACTCTAAGATTTACATCCTTTAGAAGTGGAGTCGAGGTGGATGCATCCCAAGCGAAGTTCCCACCTACAATCTCAATTGCTTCATCAGAACTACCTTTTGGAAGCTTCTCTATGACATCAGGCTGCAAGTCATCAAGAGAAAGGAAAGATGCAATACGATCAAGAGAAACTTTGGTTTGAGCAATCATTGAAATTGTATCTGGGAGATTGTAGATGGGCTCTTGAAGAATTCTAAATGTCGCGAGTGCAGACAATATCTTCCCAGATTCAAGTGGGATTCCCATAAGCATTGCAGCGCCAAAGGTCGTCACAGAAACAAATGTAGGAGCAACCCAGAAGACAAAAGTAGTCATAGCTGATGTGTACACATATTTCATCAACCATCCTGCCTCTGTAGTCCTGAGGTCCAAGATCCTAGACAGAAACTTCATCTCCCAAGCTTGAAGCTTGAGTATTCTCATATTCCTTAAGACTTCAGATGTAGCCTTCATCCTTCTATCTTTCGATTCCATGAGTTTCTCCTGAAACTTCTCCTGCAAACTCCCTAAAGGGATGTTTGCCAACATCACTATTATTGTAGCAACAAACGCGGCGATAGCAGCTAGGCCAAGATTTTTATAGAGTATCACCAATGCCAGAGCAACTTGTATGATTACCATCCAAGGATCATGCATATACCAACCGAAGTCACCAATCCTCTCGGCATCAACTGTCATAAAATTGATGATCTCTCCACTAGTGTGGCTTTGCTTTGACTGACAGGAGAGGGTTAAACCCTTGTTGTAGATTTTGGAAACCAGTGCTGCCCGTGCCCTATACCCTCCCTGCTGCACCTTGAAAAACCAATGCCTTTGTGCCAAACACTCTACCAACTTTGCAACGAAGAATGCAGCAACTAAGACGTAACCTTCATTATCAAAGTCTCGTTTTCCATTCAGATACTGAACTAAGGTATCAATGAGGTACGGGCCAACGTAAGAAGCCAAAGAGTAAAGAAGCACGAAGAGAGCCGATAACACTATCTCCTTCCGTGCTGTGAAAGCCAAAGCCTTCACCAGCATAAAAGTAGTCACACGGTTACTATTTCCNGTTTTAACAATAAACCCAACAAAACAGAAGAATAACCCCATAAGAGTGAAAACAACATCAGGTATACAAAATTGAGTTGGTAAAGATTGGTTCTTTTCCCCATAAACAAGGTCTATAACAAGGCAATAACAAGAAACAAAGAAGAAAAGCCCCCACCAAACTCTTAAAACAAGAGGGTATTTGGTTTCACAAGAATTAAGGAACTGGGTGTGCAAGAAAACAGAGATTGACAACCAAGCTAGCAACTTTAATGCAAAATCCAAAAGGGTTATAATTTTTTCTTCTGACCAACCATTTCTATACCAATAAAAATGAGCTAACAAACATAACACAAAGCTAAAGATGGCTAGACCTATTGAACAAAACAAGGTTGATTTGTAGTACAAGAACCTAGCATTCCTAGTACTACTCTGTTTGTGGCCAGCATTANGATACCCTCCCTGCTGCACCTTGAAAAACCAATGCCTTTGCGCCAAACACTCCACCAACTTTGCAACGAAGAATGCAGCCACTAAGACATAACCTTCATTATCAAAGTCTCGTTTTCCATTCAGATACTGAACTAAGGTATCAATGAGGTACGGGCCAACAAAAGACGCCAGAGCGTAAAGAAGCACGAAGAGAGCCGATAACACTATCTCCTTCCGTGCTGTGAAAACCAAAGCCTTCACCAGCATGAAGGTAGTCACACGGTTACTATTTCCCCCACCCACAGATTCTAGTTTTTCTCTAAAAATAGGAAAACTCCCTTTGACACTATCATCAAAGTGAAGCTGAGGAACATCCTCAAGGTCTAATGTTTTCTTGTTGCCAACAGAAATTAGGGGACCCATCCAAGAGAAAGTAAAGAGACTAAAAATGTTAGCATTGGCATAAGGGGTGACAGTTTGATCCCCAGTAGACTTCTTTGAGTCCATGCCATTGGCAACACTACCATTTAAGAGGGGTTCCTGAAGCATATTCTCCTCACTCTCTGTTTTAACAATAAACCCAACAAAACAGAAGAATAACCCCATAAGAGTGAAAACAACATCAGGTATACAAAATTGAGTTGGTAAAGATTGGTTCTTTTCCCCATAAACAAGGTCTATAACAAGGCAATAACAAGAAACAAAGAAGAAAAGCCCCCACCAAACTCTTAAAACAAGAGGGTATTTGGTTTCACAAGAATTAAGGAACTGGGTGTGCAAGAAAACAGAGATTGACAACCAAGCTAGCAACTTTAATGCAAAATCCAAAAGGGTTATAATTTTTTCTTCTGACCAACCATTTCTATACCAATAAAAATGAGCTAACAAACATAACACAAAGCTAAAGATGGCTAGACCTATTGAACAAAACAAGGTTGATTTGTAGTACAAGAACCTAGCATTCCTAGTACTACTCTGTTTGTGGCCAGCATTATTGTCCCTCCTGATTGTATTCCAACAACACAACCCAAGAATTACAAGGAACAATCCCAGGTGCAAAGAACAACTAATGACACGTAAGAAAATGGGGTTTCGGAGGGATTCATCAACGCCAACATACCTCAAAGATTGAAACACAGACATGCCCTTTGCAATTTCCATGATGTTTTTTTTGGAGGTCTCAGAGGTTCAAGGTTAGATTTTAAGGGACACGTCAGGTTTCCTCTATATTGTGGTTTCGTGATGAATTATGGGCTTTAGCTTATGAGTGCTCTTTCATTGTTCTGGTATGTATATACTACTCCATTTGATTATTACTCCCTTTTTTTCCAACTTTGATTTGATTGATTAAATATAATAATGAATATAAGGTGGGAAATTGAAAAAGGTGGTGAAAATAGGGAAAAGGGAGAGACAAGTCAAAGCTGTGTTTATGTGGTGGCCAAGACTGGGTTGACGGAGAGAACAAATGAACAAGTGATGAGAACTAAAGGACAATTGGGAAGAAGAAAATACAAGCCCTGTAAGCTTCATCATCACCATATATTCTCAGTCACTCCATAAGACATAATAAAAAATAAAAACACAATTCCAAATTCTCTGATGTACTCATCAAAACCAAATGAGGTGTTTATTTGTGTTGTTCTCTGCTTGTGGGTTCTCGTCAATGATCTTTGCTGTAATGTTTCCTCTTTGGAAAGATGACGATGAGGAAGCAGAACAAAATAAGCCTTGAAGGGTTGCCATGGCATCTCTAAATCCTTATTTGTATACTTCGGGTGAACTGGTTCGCGTGGGTATAGGTAATAAGGATTAAAAAAGAGAAATATGGGTTGGGGTTTTAAAATGCAGCCACGTGTATGGAGGAATAGGTCCGTTAAATTATAGGGTAAATATATGTTTAAATGGGTAGCGGTAACGGAAGAAAATGCCGAATAGTATAAAGGAGGTTCATATAACTAATATTTACTAATACAGGGACATATACAGACCTTTTGCGTAGAATCTATACGAAAACTCTTTTCTTATGCTTTCGTATAATTAGAATCCATACGAAAACTTCAATACTGCGTGATCCTAGTATGTACTATGGTATTTATGTTCAGTAACAAACTTCTAAGTTATCTACAAAACTAAGGAAATAAAATGGTCCCTTTTTATTGGCTTTAAAATGGGGGTTGGAGTTGTCCAGATTTATATTTTAATGTGGAAAACGGAAAATATTCATTCATAATAATTTATATTTATGACAAAACAATCAAAGGTTTAGACTATGAAGGACTCTTTGGATACAATTTGACTCTTTTACTACTGCTTGAACTCTTATTTGGTGTGTTGATATATTCTAAAATTATTTCTATTTTAAATTTTTAGTTTCTAAAACTTTATTTTCAATAATAATTATTTTTATAACAATGTAAGTGAAAATATTATCCTTAATTTAAAACTCATTTTAGTCGGCTATCTAAAATTCAAAAAATTCTTTTAGCCATTGATTTTCTTTCTAGTATGACTCCATTTTGATATTTGACATTAACCATGTCAAATATGTGAGTTATTAAATTATATGTAAATAACCTTAAAATTTAAACCTTCTAGGTAATTATAGATAATCATTAGATATTGTTCATGAATCACACATGAAAAAAGGCTAACATTTTCTCAAATTTCGTAGTGATAATTTTATTTTTGCACCATTCTTATTGGTGTCATTGGAACCTAAAAATAGTCACAAAGCGAAATAATAACTCGTATTTATGAGCTCTGGCAAAGCACAAAAGTTGTCACAATATGAACGATTCTTTGGTTACGACCTAACTCTTTTACTACGACTTGAATTCGTATTTAGTATGCTATTATGTTTAAAAAATATATTTCAATTTTGAAATTTTAATTTCTACAACATTATGTATATTTCAATAATGATTATTTTTGTAATGATGCAAGTGACGATATTATCCTTAATTTAAAATTCACTTTAAATCGACTATCTAAAAATTTAAATGATTCTTTGGCCGGTGAAATTTTATTTCAGTATGACTCCATTTTGAGTTTATCGATATCTCTAGCCACAGATTTTAAATTTTGTATACCCTATACATACACAGATTTTTTGTTCTTTGAATCACTAAATGTTAGATTAATTGATTGTTTTATATAACATTGCATATATTATCTTAAAATTCCCAAGCAGTTTTTTCTCGACACTATACTTGGCTTAACCTCAATGCAAACTACTTAAATTATAATTAAATTCAAATTCAAATATCATATCAGTTTGTTAGTAATAGTGATTTTTTTTAAAACAACACACAATGTAAATATAAAAAAATATTCTAAGATATCCTTATCTTATAATTTATGTATTTGAGTTGAAAAAAATATTTGAAATCGATGAGATCGTCTTCCAAATTTTTTACACTCAATAAAGATGAAACAGAAAAAAATTCGTTGTCGTCTCTTATTTCTGGTTTTTAGATTTTTCATACATTTTTTCTATATTTATTTTCTTTTATCTTATTTTTTTATGTTTTTCTTTATTTTGTTACACAAAATTAATTTATTTCGTAACAAAAGGATGAGTTTTAATAGAAAGTGTCTACATAAGAACTTTATTTATATTTTTAATCTTTGGTTGAAATTCTGTCATATTTTTATTTTGGCTTTATCTTATCAACCTAAATAGGAGTTCACCCAACCACTTAATTAAAAAATTGAGGAAGTGTAATTTATGTATACTTCATACGTAACATGTGTATAATAGTGTGTAATAGGTATATCATCTATGTATATTAGCTATAAAAAATAAACAATAAAACTGGCCGAATATTTATGTAATAATCCATAAGATTTCGGTTTCTTGATTTTATCCATGATATGACTTCTATTATAATTATTTAAAAAAATCTCTACTAATATTTAAAAATATCTTATATTTTATTTTAAAAATGACATTATAATTTAAAAAATAATCCCATTTCGACATTTTAAAAATAACTATTTCACGTCATACCAATTTTTTTTTAAATATACTTTTTGTTACACTTGAAAATCACTATAGAAATTATCAATTAGAAACTAATATCCCTCCTTTTGAATTCGAGAAAAAAATCTTTCACATAATCTAATGATTCAAAACTAATATTTTTCAATAAAAAAATATTATACCTTTGCAATGTTGGTTTGACTGCTGCTAAATGAAGAGGTTTCGACTTATACCCTTCAATTCCTAGAAGGTGTTAAATAGAAATTAATCAATTATATAGCCAAAGTTTTGTTATTTGTTTGATGTCCATTTATATAAATTGACTCTTTAAAAAAACATTTTTCAAAAAGAAAAAAAAATAACTTGTGTTGAATATTGACTGATTTTTGTAATATTTCTTTCTCCAGCATGCCGGTTTACATTATTATATATGTAAGTAGATTTTTATCAACTTTTAAACATTTTTTTGTTATCTGGATAAACATAGATGTGTACCTTATTACATTTATTTTTTAAAAAATCACTTTATTCAAATCTGGCTATAGTGTCTTAAAGAACTATAATTATAGGATTTTAAATGTAAAAGAGTTTATAGTTATTTGGAGTATTGTTTTTATTTGCCAGAGGCGAAGTAGTGTTTACATAATTTGAATTAAGATAACAAAAGTTCCTAATATAATTGCATATGATCACTAACCGAATTAAGTATGATAACATGGCAAAAAAAGATAATTTTTTTTATTTTAATTCAAATTTAAAAACATCATATATATAAATTCAAAATTATCCTTATATATATATATATTCGACTAACATAAGTCAAATATGGAATAAAGTTATCATATACTATTGATATTTATTAGTTTGCCACTTAGCTTAACCACAAAGTCAATTATATATGGTAACTTTATAGCTTATATACATATATATAGATTCTAGATTTAATAGTTATAAATATTTTATAATTTTAAAATATCAAATGTTTTGTTTGAGCAAAAGCTAATGATTTCGGCTGAACCCCTATAGCAACTTGTGCCTCCGCCCTGTATATACGTTTTATTTATAATTATCTAGTATTCGAAAGTTAGTAGCTCAAGTAATTTAAATTTTTGTTGTGTATTTTTATTAAAGCTCGAACACGAAAATTTTAGTAAGATAAAATGATCATGTTCATTCCGTCACCACATCTCTCAATTATATATATATATATTACCAGTATTGATTTTTGGTTACTCTCAAATCTTAATAATCATCACAAGATTGAATTAATATCATATAAAGAAAATATCCTTGTTTAAAAACAAGATGAATACCATTCCATTTTACCCTTCTTTAAAATCCCTATTCAGCTATTAGAAATTATTTAAACAATAAATACTTCTATGAGCTTTCCTTTTTATGGTGTAGATACTAAGATTTTAGTTTTATCTTTTTAAACCTCTAAAGTTTACTTATTTCGAGAATTAAAAATTTAGAAGTACCGTTTGGAAGAGCTTCTCTTTTCAAAATGATTGGTATAATAAATCTTCTATTATCTATTCTAATTGCAGCTTTTAGTTTACTATGATATTCTTGTTATAAATAGTTTGTATATTGGATGCTACATTTGATGCTCATGTTGTGAATAACTTAAAGATTAAATTTCTTACTTTATGTCCATCATCTTTACTTTTTATGCTTATAAAAGGCTATGTAATTGCAATGGAAAGATACACCAAAGTGAAAGAAGAAAAGACTTCTTCCTTCTTTCTATCTCTTCATTTACATTTTACTGCATTGCTTTTATTTTATAATACGTTATCAGCACGAAACTCTAATTTTATTCTTAACTCCTGCTAAGTTGAGCCATATTTTATTAAGGTATGTATCATTATAATCAGTTTATTTATGGCAGTACTTATCATATGCTCATTGTTTGCAGATTACTTGTGCTCTTGGGCATCTTAAATAGTTTAAGTACATTGCAGTGATAAAATAACTATTTCGTTTCGTGCTCAACTCTTAGAGGACCTCAAAGTCATCAAACTAGCTATACACTAATGACATACTTATAATATTCATGGACTTCCTCGATCAAAACATATCTTTAAGGCATTTTGAAGAACTGTGAGAAATGAATTGACAAGCAATAATTTTATAGTTTAATTATGTTATATTTATTGGAATATATAAATAATGTTAGTCACGTTCAATTCTATTAACACATATATATCANGAAACTTGAATTTGTGGTGCTTGACATCACCGGGAGGAACTATTTATCATGGGCCCTTGATGCTGAAATTCACCTTGACACTAAAGGTCTTGGAAATACTATTATACAAGGAAATGAAGCATCAAATCAGGATAAAGCGAAGGCCATGATTTTCCTTCGTCATCATCTACATGAAGGATTAAAAACTGAATATTTAACCATAAAAGATCCACTTGAATTATGGATTAATTTGAAGAATCGGTATGACCATCTAAAACTTACGGTATTACCGAAAGCTCGGTATGAGTGGATACATTTAAGGCTGCAAGACTTTAAAACCGTACATGAGTATAATTCTGTTATCTTTAAAGTAAGTTCTCTATTAAAATTATGTGGAGACACTATCACAGATGAGGACTTATTGGAAAAAACATTTTCTACTTTTCATGCTTCAAATGTGGTGCTACAACAACAATACCGTGAAAAAGATTTTAAGAAATATTCTGAGTTAATCACATTCTACTTGTGACAGAGCAGAATAATACTCTATTAATGAAAAATCGTGAAGCCCGTCCCACTGGGT